CTATAGATTTAGCATGACATTACGGATTTACTGCAATGTAAAATACCAACATACTCTTTTAAGAAAAAAGAAAACAGAAGTTGACCTTGAAATTCGTTGTGACGGTAAACGAAATGGCAAATAAGATAATGGACATTATATAGAGATTGTACTGTATTTGATACACATATTACAATCAATAAGGCAATATGCGAGTGACAGATATCACTGATCAATGATCAAACGGTAACCTATTTTAACCATTGATAAATTCGTTAATAAGAAATTAAGTTACCAGACTAAAGAAATGTCTCATCATTTTTATTATTCTTACGAAACATGTACTGCGTACAGCAATAATCACATGAAAACATTATGAAAAATAATGGTATAACTTGGTTTGCATGATAGGAAGAAAAAACCCAAAATAACTATAAGACTTAACACGAACTGAAAACAGAATAGTTCCTGTTTAATAAACTGGTGTTTTTTTGTTAAGACTTAATTTAAACCACACCTTTAAGCATTAAACACCTTAGCAACATTTAAACAAAAGGTACCAGTCACGTTTTATAAACTAAAATAGATGTGTACTTCCTCTGTATTGTTATTAGCTTGCTTTCCGACCTTCAAATAATGCCTCTTCCGGGTAGGTCATGGACAATTGATAATACGTGGCATTTTGTTATAGACTAGTTTTACATGCATAATACCATAACCAGATCTCTCTGATGTTTTTATGTGTGATTTATAGATGTTTGTTTATGGAATAAGAACTGTTTAAACTACACTAAACCGTACCTGTACCTATCACAATAAGGTAGCTACTTCACGCGCGCTTTATGTACAAATTTGGATAAAGAGGTTTGATTAATTTTCGAACATGGATATACAAATACAGTGAATAATTCACTGTGGAGCCTCGATAGTCCAGCCACAGTCGTCCACAATATTTAAATCAGGTGAGCAATTTGTATATTAATTCTTATTCCGATTGGAGGATAGGCAGAAAGAACAATATTCAAAACTAAACTCTTACGTAATGGCTTATATCTCTGTAAATTACACACACACACTTTTGGCCCTTAGTAACAGCGATGAACCCGTAAAAGGGTGAAACAGCTGTGAAGTGCAGTGCTATTCATTTCTGGTAAAGTGGATCTATTACTTGAATTTAAAAGTATCATGATCTTCTTTTAAATAAATCCTTTGAGGATCACAGTCGCACTGTATCCCATACACTAGATATTCCACTGTGGTTTTTCGTATTTACAGAAACTTTCTCACATTTTCGTTTAGGAATAACAAATGTAGCTAAACTTTATTATCATGAATAATTTGTGATAAGAATATGAGAATACTCACTTGTGATAAGAATATGAGAATACTCACTTTACTCAATTGTCTCTTTAAAGTAGCCTGTCAAACAATAGCGTGGCTTGTTTTATTCAATAAAATATCTCTCCTCGCAGCTTGAATGCAGTTTTCTCAGTGATATTTCAACTAACAAGTCGTCTGCTTTGTCATCAATGTTTGGATAACGTACTGGCATACTTGAGACTATTAGCGAATCCAGTTTCTAGCAACTAAAAATATATTTAATTAAGGACACTCGTACTTCTGCCAAAACATTAAACTATGTATATGGAACTTATTTTTGCGGCATGACTATAGCTTTTGTAAATTATTTTGAAAAGAAAAGTAAACCTTGTGAGACTTTTACGAAAACGTAATGGCGATGAAATAAACAAAATGTTATCAATAAACATGTTCGGAATGTAACTATTCGGCGGGGCCAGACCCGGATTCTAACCCTTAACATCATATTGTCGTACCATCGTTGAGCCTGCTAATTGGACAATGGAAATGTACGAGGCCTAATCTAGTAGTTATATCCAAACGGAAGCCAATTAAAGGTTACTGTATAAAGGAAAAATGTCAGTGTAATTAAATTAAATAGATAAATGTTATCAGCAGCTTTTTTACATATCATGATCATTGTATGTTTTTTCTAAATAATTGTTACCTATTAAATGCAAGAAATATCCAGATTTGCGTTTAAATATATATTTGCATTCTTTTTCATTTCCCGTAAACAACTTGTTTGATAGTATCGCTTGAATGTTTCCCTAAGACTGTCGTCAGTAGTTTAATTGTACGGAGGTTCTTGCCGACTGTTCTGTTTATAGATTATGTTTTAATTGACTCGTGTATTGTCGTTTACATCCGTATGTTGAAAAAATGCATGACATAGATATTTAAAATATCAATGTGATAAGCAGATGACAATATTTACTGCTGAAAGGTTGTTTTTAGGTTTTAAAAAAAAGGAAGCGTATATGGTATAATGGAAACCCTTAAATCGTATTATTAATTTCAACTTTGTATGGAAAATATAAAACACCTTTACGTGAATAATAACTGTATGCAGCTTTTCATTACTTCTGAACTAGGAAGGTTTTTAAGACAGTTTAGTATTCACATTTCTCGCGTGAGCATAATAACATTGTAGAAATGTTTTTCATTTTTTTGTGATTTTGTTGACACTTCCGTAATGTCTTGTTTGTTTAGAATTTGTTATATATGCCCTATTGATTTAGTTGTGTATTGGTTTAAAACATTTACATAGCGAAGTCGCAAAAATTATTTTCATAAATCTTTACTTTATAGAGTACCACGTACGCTTACATAATTTGAACGATGAAAAAAGGTGACGAAGAAATAAATGTTTCCTCTTTGTGAACGACGATAAAAGTGTAAATAAGAATAAATATATTAGTACTAAAGAGTTTCTATTTATGAAACCTGTAAAAGACAAAACTTTTTTTGAAAGACTCAATTTTATGCTATGAAAACGACAGATGTTTAAAATACAATATGCCTTATTTAAAAGTCTTAACAAGACTTAACACTTAACAAAACCAAAGAAATTATTCGCGCCCAAATAACGTTATATTTTTGAATTATTCTCAAACTGCACACATATCAGCAATATAAATACAAGCTTTTTTAAATCATGATTATGGTCACGGTCTTGAAATAAGAATTGTTTATTTCAAGTGTTTTTCAAGAAGTTTCTGATAAATTATCTCATTTATCATCCTATCTCATTAAATAAAATGAAATGAATGGTACACTCTGGAGGATTAAACAAACATTTCAGAGTTAATCACTAGAGTTAATCAAATACCCCAAATGTTTCCAAACATTAGAAAAGATATCTATTTAACCTTTTTACTAGCCTGGCATCCGATCTATTTTTCATGCTTCTTCCGGGTAATTGATGAGTAATTTAGATAACATCAAATATTGTTACGGACCAGATCATTATGCATATTATCTTAACCAGTGATTCCAATTTCTATATGTAGTGTTGTATGTGTTATTATAGTGTTGGTTTATCCAATACAATACTGTTTAAACAACACTTAACATAGTATGAGTATTGCGCTAATCTAGCTACTACACGCGCGCTTTATGTACAAATGGGATAAATAGTCCCGATCATCTTACGATAATAAGCTACGCATATCATACACGGTACAGTCGTGACAGTTCTCTCAAAGTCATGCCAGGCTAAAGCGACTGTATTGTGGTGGTTTGATTAACTAGCCTTCTCTGTAATTAGTTGAATAAATGGCAAGATCTATGTGCATTATAAAATTTAAGAGTAACTTTGAAATCATTGACCATATAACGGCCGGTGTTACATTCAAACTAAGTACCATGTACTTTGATATTATCGTGGATACATTTATTTTAGCAGTTATCATTACATTCCTTGATTAATCTGGTAAGTGGATTTTATACGAAGTATAATATTTTTACAATTGTTTTATAGTAGATGTTTAAATACTGCTTCGCGATTTTCGTAACGATTACATTTAGGATAGTGTGGCGATGTTTACAATATCAGATATTGTTCTTCAGTAATTTATACAGTATAACTGTCTGAAGAAAAGCCTTTAAATATTTGAAATTATTTCTGACCTAACAGAAGAAGGATCATTACATTAATGTTCTAAAAATCTTCTAAAACTGGCAAGCGCAGATATATATTGCCTGCGGAAATGAAGATTCCTTATTTCATATTTACGGCGCAATATTGTACACGTGATATAGGTTTTGTCCTTCTGAACATTAGAACCGTCGATGAGTCCACGGTGAAGTGAATTTTTATATTGTTTGTCTTGCTCTATTGACGGACAAGATTTTAAGTTACTTATGTCATATTTCTAGTGATTGTGAAAGACATGTGTTATTTTGTTGTACTGAAAGAAAAATTATTATGAGAACTAGAAAGTACGGAGCACCTATTAAAGTTTTAGTTTTTCGATGCAGAAAATCAAACAAACTAACATAAAGTAAACATCGATGACTAGTTCGTCCATCGATCAGTGCTAACATGTCTCATACTAATGAAAGTTAGTGTCTAAATTATTCCGCAACCTATGAAAAATTTGATGAAAGTTTTATATAAAATTCAATACAATGATACATATTGAACGCTTTTGGTTACAACGCATATTTTATTCTTAAATTTATATATCATATAAAGAAAAAAGATTCTGTTTGTTTAAATTTTTTAATGTATCCTTTCTGATTTTGAATTGTAGAATATCTTTAAGGACCATCGGTTTTTAAATGTTTTTTGTTTGTTTTATATTGTTTAACGTCCTATTAAAAGCTGATGTCATTTAAGGACGTGTATTGAGATGATGCTTTCTTAAGAAGTTTGTATAATACAATGACCATCAATTAACTCCAAATCCTTTATTTTCACATCAAATTATATCAATGCTAAATTGTCATGTTTCGAATGAATAACAAAACAGTTACAACTACTCTCGTCTCATTTATACTTACCATATGAGGGTTGTTTCGGTGCCATATACTGTCATTTACCATTTATTTGTCATTATACTCATCAATGCATTAACTTACATTTTATTTTAAATGACGAATTATATTTAGTCATTTTTTTTCTGAGATGATATTGAATCGATTCTTTTGCATTGTAGGTTGCCTATTGCACCAAGATGTTACCTCAAATAATCAAACGTTATTTTCCCACTCGTTACCGGTTGTTTTTGCCTGCTCTCGTAATAGCTGGTGTCCTGCTATCGTTTTCACAAGTCCGTCAAATACTGATCAGGGTAAGTTTGATAGAAAATGACATATTATGCCATCTCAATGCTGATATTATGAACAGTATGCTCGGATTTCAAAAACCCACTGACACAGGAGAAGATTTTTTAATGAAATAATAACACAAGAAGCAAAGGTGAACTTAGGAGCAATTCTTAACAAATCAAATTGCTTTGTGCTAAACTAATATGACATGGCAAGAGCAAAAAACGGATTTGTTTATGTTCATTGCTTTCCTGTTAATCGTGTGCTAATAAATACTAATCAGCAGGATCAGGAGAGGTCACGTCTCAATAAATATTCAGTCTGGAATCTATTGATTTTTTTAGTCCTATTTACTTCCTATGTGTTAACGATGTGGTATATTTATCTTTATTTGACCCCGTCAAAATGCATCTGCATGTACTTTCGTGTCTATCTGCTTATCTGGATAATCCAGCTAATTAACTAATGCAGTTTTGGTGTTCCATACATTTCTCTATTGATGTTCACCAACAGATCGCACAGGCGTTCACAGCTGATGCAATACTTTTAGACGCTTCAGCCATTGATTATGTACATGTATATATGGCTGAAGCGTTAGGATCACTGACAAAACGTAAATAATCTGGTAGAAATTATTTGTTCTACCTAAATTACTCCTTACATATATGTAGCTTCATTAGAATACAAATGTATTGGAAAACCTATAGTTTGTTGAAATACTATAAAAGAGGTATTTTATGGTGTGGAAATGATCGTGTTTTTCGAGTAAACTAAAGCCAAAATATCCATACTCAAATATTTATTTAAAGATTTTATAAATCATTGATTTATAGAATATACGTACATTGTATATTGATTTCAGAACAGCTGCCACCGTGAACATTTCAAAACGCCAAAATTCCCACTTTTACAGTGCTTGCTACCGAATTCATAGGACTATAACGTAAATGTAAACTTTATTTTTTGTTGCGTGGTGATTGCCAGTTTGCCAGTTTGCCAGTGTTAGTCAGAAACGACTGATCTACGAAACCTCTAGGACATAATTTAGTTTCAGTATAAGGAAAAGTTGTATAAAGAACACATGTTTTCAAATGAAATATAAGTGGGATATTATGGAGTTTGTCTGGATATTGGTGAGAATAAATAGAAATCTTTACGTCCATCATCTTCATGAAATCTCACATTTGTAAGATCTTCATTAATCATCAACCATTTAGTATTGTATTTGATGTTGGTTTGATTGAATGAGCTTGGCCTAGCTTTGCTTATAAATATATTAATGGTAATAAATAACTATGAACTTTTTTTGTGCATTTTAGGATACACTAACTACTAACCATGGGTTTAGTGACCGTTTCGTGGACATGACAAAATTTACTGCACATTTAAATTTAGGATCAGTTCTGAATGGCTTTTCGCCAACGCTTTCCCCGCAAACGTACACCAAATACAACAACGGGAGCTCCGACGAGGTAAGTGTTTCCTGTCCCTCATGTGGTACCAATCAATTAAAAGATATTATTAACTCACCACAGACACAAAGATGACGTCTTTAGTCATAGTCGACAAGTAAATACAATATCACAGTTGCGATGGAGGAACAATAGCGTAGTTTACAGGTGTTTTTTCAGGTAGAAAATCCAGTCTAAATACTTAATAGGTCAACGGAACACAACTATTAAGAAAGTTCGGATACCTAAAACAGGCTGTCTTGTAACAACATTTCAAAAACAAAATGGGAAAATGGTGTCCTACTATAACAAAAGGAAATGTAACGATTATGAAATTTAAGGGGGTCGGTTTTTATTTATGTTTTTTCTCAAATTCTTAAGAGTAAAGTGTAAATAAAAAAACAATTGGTTCTCTATTTTTGTTGTTATTTAAAAACAAACCATTAATGTTGGGGTAGAATGACATTCAGAGTCGTTAATATATATAGCCTTTGGATAAAATATAACTTGATCATAGTACAAACAGAGATCGGCAAACAGTTGCACACATTACCCATTGGAATACATGTAGCATAATGATATATGTATTCTACTAATATCAACAAAAATTAGTAATATCATTTTAATGTAATAGCGCGTATTCACTAGATTTCCTATTTTAGACAGAAATGACCGTTGACAAGCCTTTTTATAAATCATTTCTGTCTAAAACAGGGAAACACACCGCTATTATATTAAAACGGTAGTACTTATTTTTGTTGATATTAGTAGAATGTATTGGAGTTGTCAACCGAAAAGTCGAAAATGTACCTTCCCCTTTGGGGAGCCTCATATGCCCCTTACTTAGACTTACAAATTAACAATAGATGCGACCAATATCGAATAGCTTTGTTATAAAAAACAGTGTTCAGGTTTACATTGTTGTGTTGTTTTTGTTCTCTATTGTAAATATTGACAAAAGGATGCGGCGGCCGCCAACACCATAAAAAACCTGAACACAATTTAACGCAAGCCAGTATAAAAAAATTGTGAAATATCAATTTTTAGAGGTAGAACTCGCTTTTACGTGCGAGATGTAAATATAATCTGAGGAGTATACACTTGAATGGAAAGCATTTCTTTAAACGTCTGTCGATCAAATTTTGTCCTAAAGGACAATATTTCCGCATATGATTTTGAGTAATTGAGACCCGCCTTACTGAATTCCAACATTTGTTGTCCATGAAATAAACGTACTGAGTATGCATCTGTACATGAAACTACTTCCTGCGTTTAGCGTTCAATACGCGGGAAAACTATTATGCTAATTAAAATACACGTGTATGTTTGTGGTGTTAATACATTCGATAAGCATTCAATGTGTTTGCTTTCGTGAATCGTTTGATAACCAAATTGTCTGATAAGCCGGTTATTCGATCGGAAGATTTTCGGGTAACCGATCACAAAACATTTGACCGGTTTGACAACCCTGATTATAAATCAAATCACTCTAACACGATAGCTCATCCAAAATCTCGAAAATTAAGTGAGTTAGACGTGTTCATGTCAAGACATTTCCGACATTTCAATGATAAATTGCATGTTAACATCATTACTTGAAATACGAACTAAAGGCGTATCTGTCAAAACCTTAATACCTCGATGCAGAAAGCCAAACAAAGTAAGAAATTAAATTGCTCCTTATGGCCATATCCATAATGAGGAATTATCCATGGTACTTGATTTCAAATGTCATGTATCCGAGGGTTGTAAACACCGCCTACTCAAAAATATATTCTATCACTACATTAATCTTTTTTTATGCCTATTTCAGGACAAACTAAGCCGCAAAAGTGGATTGAGCGACCAAATTGAAAACATGACGATAGTGACTGCATATTTTGATTTAGGATCTTTTAAAAAAGGACCTTCACGAAAGTTTTCACAAAAAACGTACATCAACTGGGTTAAAACTTTTAGATATATGAAAAACAATTTGGTAGTTTATACAGATTCTAAAGTATTTGCTGATATGTTTCGAAATCTGCGTAAAGGAATGGAACAGAGAACAAAGATTGTGTTGGTGGAAAGGACGCGTTTTTGGACATTTCGAATTCATGATATAATAAAGAAAATTTACTCACAGAAAGGATATCCTAAACACTATCCAAACACTGTTTTGCCCGCGTATTCGTGTGTACAGCATTCAAAATATGCTTTAGTTGTTGACGCTATCAACCAAAAATATTTCAAAACAAATGGTTATGCATGGCTGGATATTGGATATTTTCGCGACATTGTAAATTCAAAGAGATCTTTCACTCTAAATTACCCGAATGATTTCGACAAGCATAAACTTGCCGTAAATCTAGTTTATCCAACTGTTTCTTTGAACATTAGTTATGAAAAAATAGTTTACAGCAATCAAGTTTGGGTGGGAGGGGGCATTTTTCTAGGAACAGCTGATATTATACTGTCGTTTGAGGCTCAGTATAAAAGAGCTGTTATGTTTCTACTTGACAAACAGTTGATGAGCACAGATCAACAGGTAATTCTTTCAATGTACAGTATACAAGGAAGGAAAGATGTGAACGCGACAGTGCAACTTCAACTTTATTCGCGAAGACAAAACGAAACTAAGTTAAAGAACGGTAACCCATGGTTTTATCTAGGATACAAATGTTTGACGTTTACGTAGACTTGAATTATTTTATAGTATTAATGTCAAGCTGTCAATGCATGTATGTGTCAAGTAAAGATGTTAATTCCGGGACCCTGTAGACAAAACATCATCAGCTTAACGACAAATTTATTCTTATATTTCACATGAATTAATTTTAAAATTATTAAAACTGATTAGAATATAAAGAAATTTAAAAGACAATCTGAAGAATGACAGACAAAAGAAATGTCTATATGAAAATCTGTGAAAACATTTGTTTTCTGGCTTTTAATATGACTTTGTAATGCAAAAGGAGCATGAAAAAAATCCTTTAGGTGACGTATTTATTAGTTCTTTGAGAGCAACATTAGTCGAGCGTAGTAATGGCATTGGATAGGTCAATCTCTGCAGTATTACTTTTCTTCAAATATCAAACAATGGCAATTTCGTAAGCTGTATCCGAAGATGTATTAGATACGAAACACTTCAGTTGACAATTACTTAATTGTTTTTCTATAGCGACAATCATAATAAAACATTATAACCTTTTGATAAAATAAACTTTGAATCTCTTTGCATACCAATTTTCTCGATTCGGCCTTTGACCATCAATTGTGAAGATATGATTTTTTTTAAAACTGCGTAATTGGTATAATTACAACATTGTATAATAAAAATGCATGTTGTTTTTCTTAAATGTAAATCAAATTTTGCAAAACGATGGGTTTAATTCTATAAAACATGTATGGTGTTAATAATAAAACAATACATCATTTGTTTTTGTTTTCAATTTGTTTCTTTTCTTCGTTTAATTAATTTTGGAGCTTATTGTTTGACCTTATTTTCGATTTCGTTCGTTATTTCAGAATATGCAAATTGAATGCCCAAGGAACTTCGAAATTTCGCACGAGTATAAATATGCATTTGCAATATTTTTTTACACATCGGGCGCCATGATTTTATTTATTAATTTTCACATATGAAACAAAATAAATCCGCTTAAGTGAAAATACACAAACGCGTCAAACTAACTAACGAAAAGAAGAAAACTTATCGTTGTAAAAAGACAAAAAAAAACGTATTAACCAAATAAAATAAAAAAAGACAAATAAATATAAATGCCGTCTTAAATCTATCCTTTGGCCGTTATTTGGTAATTTTTTTCGTTTTTAGTAATTTTTGTATAAGTTACACTTAAAAATTACGATTTAATGTTTAACTTTGCTTTACGAGAAGTCGGGGCAAATAAATTTGATTTAGATGACTATCTGCATGGACGAACAAACATATTTAGAATTAAGAAAAAATACTCAATTGAAAAATAAATTATAATAGATAATAAAAAAAAATGTAAACAGACGTCAAATCGCCAAATCGTCACAGAACCCGAATGAGGATACCACAAAGCTAGTACTGGACGCATGCTCCAAGGCCAAAATCCCCCTACAGGCATCTGATATTGAAAGATCCCACAGAGTTGGTAAACCTAGCTCATCAGGAGAGACAGGTCATAGGAAACCCCGTCAAATCATTGTGAGGCTCACTTCAAGTGACGCCAAGTTCTCATTGTTGTCGAACAGCGAAAATTTTAAGAAACACAATTTCCACGGAATATCGGTCAACGAAGACCTTACGAAGTTTCGCGACAAGCTCTTTTTTCATGCCCGCCAGCTCGTCAAATCCAAACACATTAAAAAGACTTGGACCACAAATGGCAAGATAAAAGTGCGCGATCATCAAGGAGCTGACCATATGATCCGTGACGAGGCTGACTTGTGTCCTTTCGGGCACGTTGTCTAGGCATAGCTAGAACTGTATGTGCTAACTTTGGCAACTATAATTAGAATTATTATAATCTCGAATATCACTACTATTGTTTTTGTTTCTGAGTTTTTATGTCTTGCAATAATTACCTAAGGGCATCAAGCACTATTTTTGTAAATCCTTTTTTCTTTTTCTTTTTAACACATGCGCGTAGGCGTAATAGTGTCATTGGGTGTACTTAAGGGGCAGTGTTGCTTTTCATCCCTAACCATGCTTCGAATTTCCTTTGGTGGTCTTAAATTATCTTCACTCCTTTAAACGTTGAATGGATTACAACCCCCGTGTATATATTTTCAAACCACGAACGTATGGCAAAAGTAAGCTAAGTGCGAATATTTGAGTACATGTTTGTATCCTGAAGTCGTTATGTGGGTGTTGTGTAAGACGCTCTTTTTGTATATGTCGGTGTGCATGTGTATACGTGCACTTGTGTATGGGAACATATATGAACGTTTGTATATAAATATATGTGTATATGTATGGGTGTATATGTGGGTACGAATGCATATGTAGATGTACGTGTGAATCGATCATGCACGCGTGTGTCTGTGTGTATAAACAATTTATAAATACATATATTGCTACAAACGTGATCGCTTGCTAGTTTCAGTCATGCATGCGCATGTGAAATCATTCCATACTGAGTGTGATAATGCATGTGTATTTATGTAAGTATGTATGCGTGCGTATGTGTGACATATAATTAAAATACGATACAATTTTTGTTTTTGGTGAAGTAATTTATTTCCCCCTGGGTTAATATATGATAATTACCGTCTCCCGATTTACAATGATTTTCATTTTCATACCCCGTGCTTGCTTACTTTCTAACGTGATTTTGATTATATTCAAAGGTATATTCATTATATATCATTTCAAAAATTTAAACCAGGTTATGTCTAGAGATCTTGCAGGTATGTGCGTAGGATTTCTATATGTTGTTAATATATGATTGATATATCTACGCGTACGCATACGTATTGTGCATGCGTGCGTGTGTATGTGTATGCATGTCTGATATAAGGATGTATGTGTTTGTATTCATAAATGGATATATATGTGTATGTGTCTGCGTGTGTGTGCGTTTTTGTTTTTGATTCTGACTTTTTTCTTTTTTTTAGAGGCGCAGAGCCGTTCCAATTTTCTCTCCCTATTACCTCAACTTCAATCAATTGTGTTCTATAATGTTTTTTCCCTATATCTTCCTTCCCAATATTGTAATACTTATTATCTGCAGTGGAAACCCTGAATGTTATAATAACTTTGTACTTTGTATTGCTCAAACTGAGTATTGTATTGGCTGGTCTTACATTGGTCCTACTCTTGTGATGATGATGTTCCCATTTGATATCACCTAAATATATATAAATGCCAATA